GCTGGGGGCTGTAGTGCCAGCTGGGGCAGGGGTCCCAAACACCCTTACCAAAACACTGCATGCCTTGGGTCATGGGCTAGGGTCAGGGAGAGCCTCTTGCCGCTCGGGGACATTCCCTCCAGCATGGCCGAGGTATGTCCCACTTGCCCGCCATCCCAGCAGAAGGGGAGACCCCGGCCCTGTGTGAGGACAAGGGCACTGCAATAGGAGCCTTTGGGAGACCTACATGCAGGACCTGGGATGTGCAGGGTGTAGACTGCTGCCATCCAGCCCCCTTCCCATGGATGGTACTCCTCTGGTGGTGGTGAGGATGGTGGTGCCCACCTGGGAAGCAAGCTGGGAACTTCACCAGCCAGCATGGGATGGGGCTGAGAGAGACCATGCCCGGGTGTGATTTGTCTCTGAACAAATGTGGATTTGGGTTTTTTTTTCCTGGTAATTTTTCCCTGGTGATTTCAGTAGAATAAGAAAGGGGCAAAATAAGAAGTGGGGGGAGGAAATAAAAGTGGCAACTGAGGGAAGCTCCCAAGGCTGTGCGATGCCAGGGAGGAGCTCCAGAAACTCTCTGCACTAAAAATTTCCAGTGATTGAAAGTTTTCAGCAAACGTTTTCAGAAAAAGCATTGCAAAGCCATCCCTTGCACAGGACTGGTGGAACAAAAAGGATTTCCAGCTGGGCTGCCAATAATGCTGAACCAGTTTGACCATGCGTCCCTTGGCCCCAGCCTCAGTGCCCGAGTCACCATCTCTCTGGTGTCCCCCATCCCTACTCCCCTGAGGAGCTACAATGGCTGCACAGGGATGTTTTCCCTATATTAGACTAAATATAAATGCATTGCCTGCAGGAGACTAAGGCATCTGGTATCCCGATGCTGAAAGAGTTTACTCAGCCTGAAAGAACAGTGGGAAAAAATATCCCTGGATGTTTTTTGGAATGCAGAAGGAAATTGAGATTTTTAATGTTGGAGGTACTAGCCATCATCAAACGCAGGAGCCTTGTGTGCACCTCTCAGTGATGCACTTGAAATTCCCGGTTGCAGTGGAGTTAGTTGCAACCGACTAAACTTTCCTAGCTGGAAATAGAAAAGGAACAAACTGCATGTGTGCTTTAAAAAAAAAAAAAAGGAAAAAAGTCACCTTATGTCATCTTAAGTCCGGGTGTTTATTTGTACCTCCTGATGTTTAGCAGAGACCCCTGGGGAACCCAGCAGCACACCATTGGGTGCAGAGAGCCTCTAGCAGAGTGCGGGAGGCAGCTCCAGGGCTTTGCACTCCTCTGGGTGCTGGCATGGTCACAGTAAGCCGGCCTCACTCCTGCTGTGCCCAGCCCTGGCTTTGCCAGTGAGCAGTGCCATATCCAGCACCTTCCACCTGGGCTCCGCAGGATGGGGGCATCCAACATGTGGCAACAGTTTCAGGGTGGGTTTGGGTTTTCTCTTGGCTGTGGAGAAAAGGCTGTGGGTCCCAATAAGCAGGCACAAAACTGTAGGGTCACAGGTGTTGGGCCAGCCTGGGGACCTGCCAGCCCGACCACCCCTGCTGTGGTGGGACTTAGATGGGATTTAGCCCAGCACTCAAATGCAGGCAGGTCCCATTTTGCCAGGACCTATGGTCTCTTTAACTCCCACACTAATTAATTTTTCCTGCAAAGGTTAATCTGCATGCAAACTAGACTAAAATAGCCTTTTATGATAAAAAGAGGTTTAATGCGCATCCAGTGCTTGTGTGAAGGGCTATCCCAGGAGGACAAATGTTCCCTTGGCAAATAAGGGATGCCAGGATGGACAGGGCCTTGGGTGACATAGTCTAGTGTAAGGTGGCTCCTGCCCATGGCAGGGGGGTTGTAACTAGATTATCTTAAGTTGCTTGCCAACCCAAACCATTCTATGATTCTATGACCCTCATGTCCCTGCCAGCCCCATCCCACACTGCCCTAGAGGCAGCAGGTGCAAGCTGGCTCCCATGCCCACACTTCATGTGTCACGCATGTCCTTGAGATACGCTCTGCCATAGATATCTGTCACAAATGCCGTAAATCTTGGGCAATTATCTGCTATTATCTCTCCTGAGCCAGAAGGCAGGAAAACTGGGTGTTGCAATGTGCTATTATTTTGTTTCATGATGGGGTTGCATAATGTCTTGCTTTCAAAGCCATCCAAAGGCAGGCGGCCCAGCCTGAGCCTTTCTGCCCATCCATGGAGCCAGTCAGCGCCAGCTCCAAGCAGATCCCTGGGAGGTTCATGCAGGTCCTGGGACCATTTCATGTGGTGGGCTCCAGCAATGCAGCATGCCATGGCTCCCAGGGAGGTGGTGGCAGAGCGGATGGGCACTGGGACCCCTCTGACCGCCATCACGGATGTGAGGCTTGGGGCTCAGCTCGTCCTCTGAGGCTGATGTGGTGACACTTGTGCCAAGCAAGCCCTCCCATCCTCGGCTGGCCTCCCCAAGCAGGACTGGCACTTCTGCACAGCTCAGCTGCCTCAACATGACAAGGCCTGTCCCTGTCTCTACAGGACTGTCGACATGCTGACCTCCCCCAGCCCAGCCCTCCTGCTGCCGCTGCTGTGCATCTTACAGGCTGCGAGAGCTCAGGTCAACCCAGGTAAGTGAGAGGGGAACCAGG